CACGGCGCTGCGGCGCACGGAACACACGCAACAATGGGTCCCAAGCCCACACGGAAAGGAGACCCCTCTAACGATCACTGTCATCTGGCTTTCAGAGAAACACCTGGATGATCTAGGACAAAACTGTGGGTAAACTTAAGGTCCTGCGCTTTAAATTGCTGTCATATATTGCAGTTCGGTCGACCTTCATTTTTCATTGATACTATGATTAAAAGGGTCTTTTCATTTTATTTTATTTTTTGAGAACTAAATCTGGCTAGGTTATAAACTGTCCATAAGGCCAAGGAGCGAGGCTGCAGAACCCCTATTACAAGTAGGCCTAACTCTATGGGTTCATTTGCAAGATGGTTGTTTGTAACTCAACTCTTTATTATACAAATATAAATTGCATCAATTACCTTTGTGGGTCTTCTTAAGCCCTCCAAAACCCAACTCCCTCCAACCTACCCCAAGGGAGGGGGGTAGTTGTCATCTGTGTTCCAATTTCAGTGCTAGAACTAAAGGCCACAGACTGAATGGATAGTAAATCTGAATCCTAAAAGATGAGCAAAGCTATGAAGATTTTAAACACAATCTGTTGTAAGTACATGCAAGAGAATGCTGTAAATCAGGTGACTAATCTAAATTGGAAAAATCACCCACTAGTTCACTGGGAATTCTAGTACAGTTGGAGAAAGGGCTCAGCACAGCAGTCACTGGAGCAGCAAAGTATACACAACATTGGAAAGGAATAACTTTGTTTTTGAAGATAACATGCACTCAACCTACAAGATCAAAAGCTTTTAACCACTCCAACAGGTGCCCCTTTTAAAGAAGAGAGGGAGTGGGGGAGAAGGAGGGAAGGAAGAGAGAACACACCACACTTCACCTATCAACTCTGGTTTCAAGGCACCAGGAAGTTAATTAGCCCTACCCTTCTTTTACATCTAGACTGGCTCATTTTTCTCTCTTTCTTTTCTTTTCATTGCAAAAGTTACCTTTACTGTTTGGGAAGTGGGAGCTTTTAACAAGATTGGGAAGTGGAAGATTGTATGACTATTTGTTCAGAATCCCAAATTAGTATACATGTTGTAATGGTTCATTTTCTTTGGCATTAACAGGAAGTACCTTGCAAATGCATGAAGAGCAAAACATGTTAAGTCATCCCAAAATATGTGTATTATCATCATTCACCATTATTTCTTTAAGTAAGGGTAATTCAGGAAGAAATATGCATTTTTCAAAAACACCAATGCATTATGGTTATTTGTGCATATATATTGTTCTGCCCTAATTAGGCTGTTAGCTTCTCTAAAGCAAGAACATGATATTAAATCTTCCAAGCAAAGCTGTTTTCACATGGATGCATTTGAGTATGCACATTTTATTTTTTAAATCCTCACCCAAGGATATTTTTTCTACTGCTTTTCAGAGAGAGTAGATGGGGGCAGGGAAGAGAGAGAGAGAGAGAGAGAGAGAGAGAGAGAGAGAGAGAGAAACCGATGTAAGAGAGGCACATTTACTGGTTGGTTCCTGCATGTGCCCAGCTGGGGCAGGGATTGAGCCTGCAACCAAAGTATGTGCCCTTGGCAGGAATCAAACCCAGGACCCTTCACAGCTGGTGGGCTCTAACCACTGAGCCAAACCTGCTAGGTCCAAGTATGCACATTTGAATGTATAAATGAATGTAGATGAAAAACTTTGTTCCAGGACCTATTGCAAGTTACAGCAAAATATTTAATTTCAAAGATTCATTTGAGAGAGTCTACACATTGAAAATAAAAGTTGACTGCTTTTCAGAAAATCAGCCTTATCCCTTCCTGAAATAAAGAAAAAGCAAGAGAAGAACAAAGTTGGGACTCATAATCAACAAAGGGCCATATTTTGTCCCCAAGTCTGGACAATTACAAACTAATATTTAAACTGTTTTAAATTTTAGATGAAAACACATACCTAATTCCAAGTCCCAAATCCAAAAATGTTTGCTTTATAGTTAATCATATTCTTGGGAACTTCTGATATCCACTTCCAATTCAATAAAAGCAACTTATAAAAGAAATCCAAAAGATAAGGCAACCTTCCCACCCTAAGGTACCTATTCTCTCTGGGCTCAGAGAAGGGAAAACGGACTGATACCAATTTGCTCCATACAGAGTCTTTCATCTAAGAATTTCAAAATGCTTTAGAAAAGTAAATTAATTCTCCTAACCTACTTATAAAGTATTACTAATACTATTTATAGGGATTTCTCAGGAGATAACTGCCCACACAATTTACTTGAAGCAACAGAACACATTAAGACAAGCATCATATTATTAAGTTGTGATTTCCTGTGCTGAATTCATGCTATGCTAGATCCCTGTCCCTAAGAGACCTTAGTAACATGTAATTTAAGCCATCCTCAGAAAGCCATACTTGCATTATATTCTGCCTTCTTAAATCTAGCTTTAGAGCTCAGGTTCAGATGTAGCCTCAAAGTAAAAATTTCATGTCTAGTGACTTTCCCTAATCATTTATTGAATGGGAATTTCTACACTTGTGAATCTTTAAATCACTAAATAGTGACTTTCTAACCTAAGGTCAAATTACTGGTAATAATTATATAAATGCCACTTAAGAAGAAGGAACAGCAATACACAATTTCAGTTATACAGGTAAACTTCTCTATGACTTGTAACAGAAAGCAGAAATGCACTAGTATTAGTTCAGGCAACCAACGACACAGCTTGGCCTCCACGAGAAGTTAGCTCCTCTCCTCCCCTCTTTCCTCTTTCAGGAGTTGCTGCCGAGGGCTCAATATGGCCCTCCATTCCTTTCTTCCTTTCTTCAGTTTTCCTTCCTGCATTCTTTTTCAGTTCCTTTGGTAGAAGTTCAGATTCATTCATTCTAAGCATTCTTAAGCTCTGTCCCACAACCCCCAGTGCTCAACACAAACATGATGGGATGTATGTCACAGGATTACAAGTCTCTCTCTAGCCAAATTAAAAAAGAACTCCACTATCTTCAATGTGTACAAGTCTCTCTCTAGCCAAATTTAAAAATGGGGTCCACTATCTTTTACAGTGGGATTTTATTTCAGGATTAATCTATAACAATTAGATGTTTAAGAGTTTGAGTCCTGCATTCTAACAGATAAGGCTTATCTTGCCTCTAGCTACCTCCCTCAACATTTTTGTTCCTTCCTTCACAGTTTTTCTCCCCTCATCCTGCCAGGGTATCTATTTAATATTGAGCTGTGAAGAGACATGGTAAAAGTCCTAGTTTGATTTGTCAGAATAGTAACATGCCAGGTATAGTTTCTTTTTCTTCTTAATTTCCTTTAAGGTTATGTTTCTGAGTGTATATTTTTGCTCTGTTTGGTTTTTTAGTATTAAAAGTAAACTTTGCTATAATCAAGGCAGATATCTGTGTATTTTTAGATGAGTTTCTGAACAGACCATAAACAGTGGAAGGAGGCAAACCTGGGTTCTAATCTTAACCTATTAGCTCTTAGTGTTATCATAGGCAGGTTGCTTAACCTCTCGGCCTCCAGTTTCCTCATTTGTGAGATGGACATACTACTACTTATATCATAAAGTCACTGTAGGTATTGAGTGAGAATTATGTGATAGATTTGACAGTATTTTCAACTGTTGAGTAGGTACTTAATAAATCTTAAATTATCCCAAAGATAGCAAATGTTTAATAAACATTAGACACCAAATAGAAAAAAATATATATACAGGCCAGTAGCTTTACTTCTTGATGTTTTTGGAACAGAAAAATACTTTAAATCCATAAGGAGGAATAAAAAAATATATCCCACTATAACAAATACCAGTCAAAAGAAATTTGCCATGTAATAAAATTTTAAAACCTAAGGCTTCAAATAATAGAAGTGTGTATAGGTAAACCTATGTACTAGATATTCTGAAGCAGGTCCACAAAGAGTCTGAGACTATATGCAAAATTACTTATGTATATTTTTCTCATGAAGGGCTCCTTGGATTTCAGCAGATTCTTTTAAAAATATGGCATCCAAAAGAGTCTTTGAATATCTATTCTATATTCAAATAATATTGCTTTATTGTTAGTGAAATAAAAGATAAAATGACAGTCCAGTCCCATGAAATAATTTGGAGCCATTCACTGAAATATTTCAGAGTATATAAAACCTCCACATTTACTCTGTGGTAAAAGCCATACACTTAACTGACACTTCAGAAAACCCAGTGTCGACTGACCAGCCAAGCCTCAAGAACTAATGTAAACAAGGATGTGACACAAGAATAGAACCTTTCAGGTTATAAGAACAATTATCAACTCTCTGGGGACACCTCAGTAGTCAGCAATGACCAGGAGCATCGTTTTGATAGACGAGGGGTAGGAAAGCACTGGGTATGTGGCTTTCAGAGGAGGCAGCCTGGAAGGAACTCTGCTCTGGAGGTCTGGGTTCAAAATCAAAACTAGTGCTTTATTAGTTTCCATTTATTTTCTTCAGAATTTGAATTTCCTCATTTATAAAATGAATCTAGTGAATGTCTTGTCTGCCATAGAGTGGCTTTGACTCTCGGTAAAAAATCATATACAAACATTTGTTGACAAATGTATTTTAAAGTACACACTCTGCCCTACAGACTTGTATTAGAGATAACAGTGCCTAGCTCAATATAGAAAACACAGGTGCTCAATAAAGAGTAGCTAAATAGACATAATGGGACTTTCTTCTCAACTGACCTGGACACCTGTATAGACTGCTGAAGGTGGACAACACTGGTATCACACAGCTCTTTAAAATTCTGAACTGCTTTATATGCTTCCTAGACTCTCTCCTGAACATCTTAGGGTTTGGTCTCTGATAGATATAGACAGTCCACCTTCACAAAATCAGACACCTTGTAGCTAAACAACCTCACTTAAGTGAGTCTCCTCTAGCCCTACCATTCATTCATTCAACAAATATTAACTGAATGCATAGGTGTTAAAACACAGAGAAGATATGAAAATAAATCATTTTCATCCTAAAGGAAGCTACAATTTAGTAGGCACAGAGGAATGCAGTTCTACTCAGCAAGCATCTAATGAATGAATTCCAATTCGCCAGAGCTATGCTAGGAATACCAAAATTTGCAAGGGCTCAGCCCTGAATCATGAGCACACCATCACACCAGAGCAATCAGGCATGTATCCCAATAGCAATAATACAAAGCCAAGTGCCGGAAGTGTGAGTACACCAAAGTGAACTTTACAGATAGGCCTGAGTTCCATTCCTGGCTCTGCCACTTAACTAGCTGTGTAATCTGTGCGTGCTCCTTAAATTCTCAGGGCCTCCATTTTCTCATATGTAAAACTGGATGCTAACCCACCTCCTTCATAGGACTAAAGTGAGGATTTAACGAACTAGGTATTATAGCATTTAGAGTCTAGTTGCATAGTAGACATTCAATAAATGGTAGCTACTATCATTAATAGGCATTATCTTAAATATCTGCTAAGCTCTACCTAATATAGACCTGGGATCACAGGCACAAAGAGTAAGACTGACTTTCTACTTTTGATATGGACGCCAAAGAGAAGGATTTGTGGGAGTGCTGCGGGAGCAAACAGGAGGGAAAGAATGGGTGAACCTGGCCTTGTACTCTAAAACATGCCATTGGAAAAATGGGTTTGAGCAGGAAGTCAGGAATTGAAATAAAGAACAGAAAAAAGGGACATTTTGGGGACTACAGCTGTTAACAGCATTCCCAGGAGCTTTCTGTAGTTGAGGGAGCAGAGCAGAAAATAACCAAAAAAGTAGGTGGAGCCCAGAGCCTTGAGGAAACAGAATACAGAACTAAGGAGTGTGTGCATTATCACGGATGCAGATCTGGGGGCAGCAAACAAGCAAGTCACAGAGGTGACTCTGACGGCAGACAGACTGGAAAGGGAGGGAGTTAGAGACTGATGCAATGCCCTGGGCAAGAGAAATGAGTACCTGAAATAGTCTGGGCAAAGTTCAGAGAGGCGGTAGGCGCATACATAGCAAGCAATGGAGCCCTGGTAAGGGAACAGATAGGAACGACCAGTGGAAATCTGAACCCGGGACCACCAGAATAGTGACATGTACTGTAGAAGAACAGCTACAGAGCAAAAAAAAGGTGTATGTTGTCACCAGGCTAAAGTGGGAGGAGGAGGCACTGGGTCTCAACATGGATTCACAACTAGTGTCAGCGCTAGATAAATTTATTTGCAGTCCTAACAATCCATGCCCCTTTAAAATCTTGTTAGTCCTACCCCCTTCCTTGTTCTCAGGTAAACCAAGGCCTGTTCACTTCCCTCATCTTCAACGCAGCCCTTCAATTCTCCTCAGGTCTCAACCTTAACTAGGCCCAAAGCAGGTACACTGCTCATCTCCCTGGATGGAATGGTCTCAGAGGAAAGAATTAAAAGTAATAAAAGTTTTCTGCCAGATTTGGTAGACTATTAAGAGAGAAAGGGAATGGTTGGAGAGTTACTAAATTACCACTCATCTCCTGATGTCTATTCATTTAAGTGTCTGGTAACTGTAGAAGTTAGGCTTGAAAGGAGGAGACCTGCCTTGGTGTCTACCCTACTTCAAGGCTGGAACATGGGGCTACCGAGCCTGACCCACTACATGATCACATCTGAGCTCCTCCCATAACTGTCTCCATTAATTCACTTGGATTGTTAATCATGCACTGATTTGTGTCTGCCATCTCTCCTATTATTGCTTTGAAGAAATTAAGTCCCATGTTGCCAGTTTTAGTCTTACCTCCCAAAACTACCATCCCAAACTACTAAAGTCTTAAGTAGGTCCAGCACTTAGTATTCCAATAAGCACTTTTTCATTCCTTTGCTTTTCCTCTCAATACCACCAGCAGGCATTTACACAAGTGGTTTCAATGCTCTGGAATCTTGGAGACACTGATTTACAAACAAGTTTCCCCATAAAGAATACTTGCACTCTTGCCCTTAAGAACTAAAATGTTCATGAAAACCAGATGTCTTTGAGCAATAAGAACTCCATTTATAGTTCTCAGAATTTAGTAACTCCCTAGTTCCAGTTTTATACATGGACATACAAGTCCTAGCCACAGATAGCATTTTTCCCTATTTTTCTATTCAGGTATAAATTGTTACTCACCTGCTGAGTTACCATTTGCTATCTTCTAACTGTTATATTTTTGGTATTAAAGAGTAATTCTTTGTTTTCCCACTTCTAATTATTTAGTAACTTATCCCAAACTTGGTATTTATCCTAAGAATTACCTGAGAGGGCATGTTTAAAAATAAAAATAAAGGCAGATCCTAGCACCTGCCAGAGGGCTTATTTAGCAAGATCTCAGGAAAAGCCCAGGCATGCATGTTTAATAAGCACTCCAGAGGACCACAGTAGGTGGTCCGCAGACTACCGGTCTAGAAACACTTTTAAAACCTTCTTCCTGTAAGTAGTCATCTAAGCTTATCAGTCCCTTCCAATAGGAGTCTCGCTCCCTCCTCTTCTACAGTAAGTACACTGAAAGCAAGGTGAGTTCTGCTGTTGCTGCTGTTACTTATTGAGGAGGAAAGGAGACAAAGGAAGAAACTAAGAGGAGAAAGGAGAAGCAGACATTTGTAAAAGCTCCCTCTCCATTATTTATGTTGCAATCAGAGTATGAAATCTTAACCTTTTTTTAAGATGTCGACTTTAGGATTTTAACACTTAATCCTATAAGCACTCAGTTCTCCACCAAATAAATGCCTTTCTCCACTCAAACCCAATGTTCCCTAAAGATTTTCAAAACCCACCAGTTAGCCCCAAAAGTAGGCAACAATTGACTGGAAATTCACAAATGTTTCAAACCAGTGGTCCTTACCTTGCTGTGTCTATTCCTCCATTCCTGAGTACTCATTAAAAACCAAAAATAAACCAAATGATACAAAGGTGAGTGGTAGGTTTACTTAAAACAAATGTGCTAAATGATTTAATTGTTGAGTTGGTGGTGTGCTTTTCATTCATGGCATTGCAGTTCCCTAAATGTCTGAAATTATTCATGACCACATATGGAACTGAAAACATCAGATCATATCAATAATATGGGTCCAAAGCTTATATAAACTGATTCTTTTTACTCCCATTGATGATAAAACCAGGATCATCTGTAGAATTTATATAAAGCTCCAACAACTATATAACTTTTTAAGTGCAATTTTATGACACAGGTGGAACAAAGAGAACAATCAGACAGGAATATTAATAGATCTTTGTCTCATTTTCCATGCAAACTAAAGGTCTGAGTAACACAATGTATTTTAAATCAAGCTAAAAGCCTTTTTATCTCTTTATTTTCCATTAATTTGTTATTTGTCTTTGAAATCTATCTCCACGTCCTATACCCATTTTTCAAAAACATAAAATTATTTTACAAGAAAAATAAACAAAAATGCAAATTAAATGCTAATATCCTTCCTAAAGGAACACACATCTAAATAGATTTTACATTTAACTGAGCCTCAGCTTTATTTTCTCAGAAGGCAATGTTTAAGTATGAGTTCCATTTCTTAAAAATTACATAGATACAAACAAGGACAAAAATATAATTAGAAATTAAAGTAAATGTCTCAAGGTGATGGGATTACAGGCTTTCTAACCTGATAACCAACCAAACCTGATGTAGATCACCCATGTTACATATCCCCCAAACACGCAGCCAGCCTCCAAGCATTCTGCCAGTGCCCTAGGCCATGCCCCACACACCCTCCGCGGGCAGCCCTTCCGTGGGACTGCCACCACGCTCGCCACCGGCCAAAGGAAAGGTTTCTCTTTTCCCTCCACCGCACTGTTTATTTCTAGAGAAATAAACCCACTCAAGGCGCTTCCTGGTGGCTCCCTCCTGCACCAGGGGTTTCTGGGTCACCCGAGAATTAAACAGGAAGATAGGGACCAAAAAACATAAGCATTTCCTGGTCCCCTTTTCTCAGTACTTCCCTAAACAAACAAGTTTACGCTTCTAAAAGTTTTTAAGTTTTTTAGATTTACTGGGAGGGAAAGAAGAGGGGACAATAAAAGGAAAACGACACTTTTTAAAACGCATTTTAAAAGATGGAAATAGTTACATGTTCCCTTCACCCGTTCGGAGATTTACTGTACGTTTCACTAACTTCGACCAGCACGTGGGCAGCCCCGGGGCTGCTTCGTCATCTCCCGGGCACTGGCTCCCCGAGGCTCGCGCCCAGCCACCCGGGCTCTGAAAGATCAGCGGCCACCGCGGCCTCGGTCCCCGCTCAGGCGGGCGGAGGAAACGTTAGCGGCTCCCACCTACCTTCAGGATCTGACCATGGCCGCCTAGCTTTCTCCGTTTCACAAACACAATGGGAACGCTGGTCTCGGCGGTCAGCTCAGCGAGCGCTCCGGCGAGGCCCGTCCTGTCCTCTGTGGCACAGAAGCAGAGAGGGGAGCGGGTCAGCCTCTCCGCCCCGGCGGCGG